ATTGCTCATAGCTGGTTACTGCTTTATACTCTGCACATAAATACTTCTGCAGAAATTACCAATGTTTTAAACATCAGGAACTGCCCATGGAATTTGTCTAAGCTATTCAAGGGATTAGTAGCAAATAACTGATGCTCTTCTGCTTTATATCCAAGTAAGGGTAAAGCATCTCAGGACCAAGTTTTTATAACAATCCAGGAAGGAATAGAATTGTAAACATAAAAAGCTGAAAGATGGTGTTTCCAAAATTGACTGTGATCCATGTGATACACAATCTGTTTTTCCCAGAAGACTGGAAAGTCGGGTATGTGTACATTTTTGACTCTTCCCTCAAACCTTAGCCCTTGGACTCCTCAAGTATGGGCAGAGCATCAGGAACCCAGACAGGCTTCCATGAAAAAATATGTGATTGGAGCAAATTCCATTGAACCAGAAAATTTCCATAAAATTTCTGTGGTTTATGAAATTCACATCTAACACTGTTTTGTCAGACTATCAGGAAAGCAGCGGTGCTGCAATTCACACTGAGCTAGCATCCCTTCATGGCAAAATTTTTGCCATAGTGTTTCTTTGCATGCTCTGTCAAATGAACCACAGTTCATGAAATCTGTGAACTATACCTGCATGCACTTCTAGTTCATAGTTGACTTTCACATCAAGTTCTACAGGTCTTAGTTGATACAAATCCTGTTTGTATAGATCAACAGTTCCTCACACTACAAGCATCAGTCTCAGAAAAGCAGCATTCAAGCACGTATGTTGGCTGAATCCTGAAGGAAACCTTTCTATTGGCTTCATCAAGCCTGGAATTTACCCTGTGTGTATGGGGCATCAGCCCAGGCAGACAAGCTGGACAGAATCCCATGTTTGGAAGAGAGGAATGTTTGGATATAAGGATTCAGGCATAGCCACTGTATTCTCCAGTTGCTTTTTAAAAAAAATTTGTTTTGAATATAATCCATTTTTGATACAGTTGTATTCTGTTGTCTGTTTGTAAAATCTGAAGGATTTCTTAAGCCAGATTTAACCTCTAAAGTTACTTACAGGATAAATTGAAATCTATATCAGGTCATGTGAAGCCCACGTTGTACATCTTGGCTCCTGCCATTACCTCATGCTAATGATGGTGATAAATCACTGCTGTCCATATTGCAGACTCATGGTCTTATCTTGATCACACTAAAATTGTAGGGAAATACAAGCATGGCCTCTCAACTTCTATACAGAAGTCTGAGCCCTTACAGAATAAATGGCAACCACAGAAACAGAGATATTTCCTTTACAATGATGCTATAACATCTTTACCCTATACATTGTATGTTGCTTCCACTGACATACTAAGAATGCCAGGAAAAACCCTTAGATTGAAGCCAGTTAATTAAAAGGATTCACACAGATGGTTTGCCTGGTACTTTACAGAGGCAGCTAATTAAAGCAATGTTAGTCAGCACCATTAAAATGCCAGATAAAGCTTTGGGAACAGTCCTGATTAGCAAGCAAGGTTTACAAATAGAGCTTTGAGCAATGCAGTATATTTGCAGTTAATTAATCTGATTCTAACCTGTCTTTTCTAAGGCACAGAATAATGTATGCTGATATCAGTATTAATGGCAAAATTTTTCAAAGCTCAAACCTGGCACTTATTAAAACAATCCACAATGACTCTAAATTCACATTCTACTGGAGAATATGATATCATGGGGGAGTCTGAACTCCTCTAATTAGCCATGATTTCAAAAGCATTAGAAAAGAAACCAAGTCTGAGTTAAGAAAATCAGTCACACACCAGCAAAGTTAGACAGAGAGAGAAACTGCACCAGACAGAAATTATATTTGGACACAAAAAAATAAACAAATCTTCCTTGCAGCTCCAGGCAAATGCTGTGTTTGGAGAGGATCAGTTGTGCTCTTCAATATGCCATCTCCAATATATGACTGTATATATTTTTTTGCAATAACAAGTAATGTGGTCTTGAACTGAAGACTTTTTAAGACCTGACTCTGTGCAATATTGAAATACGTCCAGTCAATGTGCTAAAAGATGACCATATGGACAGGCCTGTGCATAGGACTTAAATCATGGTCTTATGTCCTGTAATTGAAACTGACTTTTCTTGCAATTATTTAATCAAATAAGACTTCAATTTCCTGAAAGGAGGTTGTAGGGAGGTGGGTGTCAGTCTCATCTCCCAGGTAAGAAGTGACAGGATGAGAGGAAATAGCCTCAAGTTGCATCAGGGCAGGTTTACATTAGGTATGTTTAGAATGTTTTGACAGACAGGGTTGTCAAGCATCGGAACAGACTGCCCAGGGAAGTGGTGGCATCCTCATCCCTGGAAGTGTCCAAAAAACATGTGGGTTTGGCATTTGAGGACATGGTTTAGTGGTGAACATGGTGGTGGTACTAAGTTGAAAGTTGGACTTGACAATCTTAATGGTCCTTTCCAACCTTAATGATCCTGTGATTCTCTGGTTTAAAATAGCCATAGAATTTCATCCCAAATTCCAGACAGGCAGATGTAGATGTGTTTTGGGCTGCATGTAATGATTTAGCTGTCACAGGCCCACCTCTGTGATAGATTAAAAGAAACACAGAAGAAAACAACTACCTAGTGCAGCTCTCTCTGCCATCATTTTCCACACAATAAAAGTTTCACTGTCCTCCTTCCTTATTTTGAAGCCACAGTTTAATGGCATTTGGTGATTTCCCTCAGAACTGAGTGATGTGGCATATACCAGGATAAATCTGCAGTAAGATTTACTCTCTTCATCCAACACTCTGAAAAGTCATGGTGAGTCATTCAGGTGTTGGTCTTAGCAAATGTCAAACCACAAATAGAACACACACTGTTTTTGGACAGGCATCCCACATGAGCACAGCCATGTCCTGCAGAGGCTCTGTGAACAGGGGCTTGTCTCCAGTCAAGGACCATCTGTGTTATCCTTTCATTTCTCCTTCCATTTTAATTTCTTTCCAGTCTTCTGCTCTTCCAGTTACTCAAGGGGCAAGGAGATAACTAAAGATTTGTCAGTCTTTCCTCTTGCTTTCCATGAGATGACTCTCAGAAAACCCAAGAAAGAGATTTTAGTTTTGGGAGGCATCCCAGTCCTGAAAAGTGCCTCTTTATACATGTTTTCCAATATTTGGGCATAAATAGTAGCTGAATTTGTCAATTGAATTTTTTGCTGATGACTTTTGAAGGATTTCTTAATTAAAGTATACATCTTGCCATTCCAGACTGTGCATTACTAGCAAACCATACAGCAAGTGCCAAAAGCAATGCATTTCTGTGCCAAACACAGATGTTGTCAGGGCTCTGTACTCTTTATAAGATTTTGGGAAGGTGTCATTGGACACTCTTGATTGCTTTGAAATAATGATGAATCCAGTGCACCAACTGTGGAAGTGCAAATACCAAATGTGTCAGGCAATGAAATGTCAGGCAAGGAACCCTGACTAGCTGACTTCTGCCAGTCTCCTACAGAATGGACTTTGCTGACCCCATACACTCTCAAATACTGTAGTACATGTACATTCCACAGACAGATTTCACATTACCCATTTAAAGTGTTAATATTTGATGGACCAATGTAATTAATATATGCTTTTATGGAAAACTAAATGACTGTGTTTAATGGCAGTACATACCAGCAGAAAACTGCCTTTTCACTTGAGCTCACAGAAGAAAAATGTACATTCTGTGGTGTCATGGTTTCACAGAAAAATATCTCCAGGTTTATCTGATAGGTAATGAAAAGGACTGTAGGAAAACCTGAATATTCAGGTTTCTTTTACATGAAAGCCCAAACCCACTCATTGAAATTTCAGCTGCATTCCTAGAAATTTGCTGTGATTTGGGCTCCAGAGAACAAACACTCCACTGTTACTTCCACAGAGCCCTTGTTTGAAATGTCTTTTCCCATGCTGAGATGCTAAATTAATGTGAATATAAATATGTAGTGCCAGGTTCACTGCCCAAGCAGTATCAAGTAACTTACATTTCATGGATAAAGTGTACTCCCTTTGCACAGTTTATCAACTGCTAATACCTAAACAATCTAGGGGATGTTTTAGCATAAGGTATGGATAGCTTTATGTCTTGAAAAAACATTTAACCCATATGGTGCAGAACTTAAGATGATCCTGAGTTGAAGCAAGAGCTTTCAGAGTTGAATTGATGCTGCCATATTGTGCACTTTGTCATATGCATCAAATTCTGCAAAGTTCCCTCATCTGTACATCTGACATTAAAATGAGACTGCATCAGTGCATGTCAGAGAAAAATTAACTTTTTAATTAGCTTTTGGCATCTGCTTTGACAAGTTTTGCCCGTTTTGAAAACAGCAGCAGCAAGGAATTGTGAAAGCCACTAGGAACAAACAGTTCATGGCTCTCTCTTGGCAGTCCCATCATCATTACTGGTGCTCCTCTACCAAAAGGTTTGTGCCTGTGGGTGGCAGGGAATCATCCATGCCCTGTGGCACAACTTGCTAACCTGCAATTAAGTGCTCTCTGGGCTATAATACTAGAAATAATTTTAAAAAAAACCATCATCAGTATCCAGTACTAAGAAGGAGGAAACCCTGCTAGAACAGGGCTGTTGATAGTGGGATTCTGTGTGCATGCAGGACCTAATGCCTTTTACATTAAAGCATGAAAGAGCCATGTACATGTAGCAGGTAGGCACATAACCACACCACTCTGTGCTAATACCAAATGCTACAGAACAAGGAAAACACTGCAGCCTGAGACAGGGCCATTAGTGCTGCCATTGCTGTTGGTTGTCAGCATCCTAGGATTAACTGGGACAGTCACTTCTAAGTGTAATTTACCAAAGTTCAGCAAGATAGTAGCATATCACTTGTACTTTGCAGTATCACAAAACTTGTCATTTCATAATAAAGAGAAATGATAAGGGAAGTTTTTCCTCCCCTGTATTTATGATATTGTGAATTTTCAAGAACGTTTGCATGAAATGTTCCTTTCCCCTTGCTTTCAGAAGACTCCCTTTTCTCAGTAAGCAGCAAAATCACCGGGAAATCCTGTGAATACAATGGTACCACCTACCACCATGGAGAAATGTTTGTGGCTGAGGGGCTTTTCCAAAACAGGCAAGCAAACCAGTGTGCCCAGTGCAGCTGCTCAGTAAGTAACATGATTTGACAGATCTCTGCTCTGTCTATGCTCCAGTTCTCCTTTCTAGAAGATATGACACTGAAATATAAGCAATGCATAGCAAAGGCTGGGAATTGAGAATTAATGATTGAACCCATGAGAGTGCTCAGAGCTGGTGAGAGTGTGCAGTACCTGGTAAATAAATGCCAGATGACCTCTTAAACACAGTGCACAATGCATACCCGGCATCTGCTGTGACTGAGCTTACAGTGCACAGGCAGCAGGTAAAATACTGCTGCTTAGCATAGATAGAATATTCCCCTTCAGCCTAACTGGAAAATATAGCACTAAACCAATGACTGATTTCATTTAGACTGAGCTGATAAGTAAAGAGCCCCAAGGCTGGGAGGGGACAGCATTGAGCTGGCACTGGGCCACAGAGCCATTCCTGAGATGTCACAATTCAAATCCAGTATATTTGAGCAGTCACCCAGTGACTCTTCAGAGCGTGTCTGAACCAAAACATCCCTCTCAATCTAACCAGCTCTTCAGTATCAACTACTGGCAGCTCTCTACTTCCTCTCATAAAATCATCATCATATTCTTCATGAACTAATTATTTCATAATAAATACTGAACAGACTGCTCTAATCTAATATTCTGCTTTTTGCATAGAGTGGCATTTATGTAAACACATATTTAAGCATATCCATAAAAAAAAAGAATATACAGTACCAGACAATCAACACCTCCTTCTAAATTCCCATTTGTATTTTACTGGCAGGAAGGAAATGTGTACTGTGGATTGAAGACCTGTCCCAAGTTAACTTGCTCTTTCCCAGTTTCTGTTCCGGAGTCCTGCTGTCCAGTTTGCAGAGGTACGTTCAAGGCCAGTCACAGAAGGACAGGTTCTGGATTTACTTTTCCCCTTTCAGAGCCTTGTCTGTGCACCAGCACTGTCACTCAGGACACTTTCTCCAAGTTTCCCATTTAATTACAATCCAATGTATTTTGGGAAATTACTCTGTGAGTGCCAACAAGGTAACATTGCTACCTTTGTTTTGTTAAATTGAAACAAGGTGAGAGTGCTCGGATGATAAAGTTGCATCCCCCTAATGAGGTAAATCAAGGCTTCAAATGATGTATTGAAGTAGCTGCCATTACTCTGGGTAGAGAAGCTTTGTAATGAAAGATGAGCTTCTATCTGACAAGGTAGCAGACCTACTCTAGTTGGGCAAGACATGAGAATTTCAATTCAGAGGCAAGGGCAACTACTCCATTTTAAATTATGTGTCAGACAATACTCAGGTGACTTCAATATTTTACTAGCAATTGCATTTTAGATCTTGTACCCACAGGACACTTGATTCTAGGGGCCTTCCCAGCCTCTCTGAATGTCAAAACCTGTCTGTCTGTCTAAAAGCCCAAAATGTCTGAGAATTTCTAAATGTATTTTATCTCACTATTAGTATTATGGCACTTGAACCACCACTTTCAGGGTATCTAAGCATCTATGGCCTGTTCTCTAAGATGCAGATATGCACTTAAAGGTACCTGTGTTTTTCAGAAGTGCCACTCAAAATATCAGTGATGCTAGGATGCTTTGAAAATCTCCCCTACTTGCACCTTTGTGCTGCTGCATTCTTTTGATATTCTGCTTGTTTGAACTCAGTACTATTGCATGGTAAAAATATCTAGCTGGTTGTATAATTTTCCCTATGGTGCAAGAGCTGTGAAACACAAACCAGCAAAGTCCCACAGCACCTGACCTGAGGAGTTGGCTGAGTGCACAAATTGAACCAAAAGCTCTGAGCAGTGGAGGTCTGAGCCAGCAGGAAGGTACTTGAGAGTGCCTCAGTGCTAATAAAGCAGCAGGATGCAGAGAGAGCTCTGTGCAATTTGAAGGAATGAGTCTTGCACAGAAGCTGTGTAGTGCTGTCAGTGCAGCAGGGTGACAAAGCTGCTTCCTCTGGGGACCAAGCAGTGGTAATTAACTTATGTGTGGCACCATGGAGGAGCTGAGCTGATTTCTCAGGAGGGCAGAGCTCTGTGCTGTATGAACACATCACCTCAGACAGAACAAGGATGAGGATCTCTCTGCAGTTCTCCTTTGCACAGAGATTGTTCCTCATTCTTTGCTGCTTTGCCATGTTACTCCACAGTATCTTTACAAATCTTGAAACTTTTTGCCAGACAAGCTGCTTGTGAAGCCACCTGATCTCAAACAAGCAAAGTGATAGCTCTGTTCCCAGGAAGAAATACAGTGATATACTGTTTTAAATGTAATACATTGACAGTTAATTAAAGAAAATCCTTGTTAATTGTCTGATGTCAGTTACCAGGTAGTTACCTGAGCTGCATCTGAAACCAGCCTCTTCCAGTTACAAAAATCAATCTGACTTTCAAAGTACAAAGTATCAAACATACCTATGCAGCAAACCAGCCTTACAGTGGAGAAATCAGTCACATCAGACACAGTCACTAGTGAGAAACCAGTTCATTAGCATTTCCATAGCAGAGGTGAGATTACATCAGATTATGCACTTGAGGCGACCCACTGTCTGCAGTGATCCAGGGCTTTTTAAATGTATTCTCCTGTCTACTGCTCTTTTTTAAAAATGGTAAAATGATCATTTATCTCATAATCTACCTTGTCTTTTTCAATATGGCAGAAGCTTTTTTATCTCGCTGCTGTGTTTTCTATGAAATGCAAACCTAAACAAAATATTTGCAAAGATCTAGCACAGCTCACACGGAGGAAACTGTGAATCAGTTTCTGCTCCCTGCATGGCCAAGTATATTACTATCAAAATTTGCTGATTTTCATATTCATTCCTGTGCTACTCACTAGACCCTAATACAGCTGTAAAGCCAGGTGAGACTTTTCCCCTCTGTATCTCCCAAGGTGTTGTACTCCTCTAATGGATACTGTTCTGCTTCATGTACAGGAGATGGAGAATTGTCATGGGAACATTCTGATGGAGACATATTCCGGCAGCCAGCCAACAGGGAAGCTGTAAGTGGGACCTACAGTTTAAGCACATACTTTCTTGCTGTGCTGTGCATGGCAGTACATTGGGGAAAAAACAGAAAAGGATGATAATGGGTCTGAATAACTACTGCCTCATTCTGGGTTCTCTGAATCTAGCCAAAAACAAGTTTCTTTCACTCAACCTGAATTCATGAATAATGCTAAATTAGAGCAAGAGCTCCTGAAGTCTCTGGATTTGTTTTTTTCTGTACATGCTCTATAAGAATAAAATTTGACAGTATTAGTTTGCTATGCAAGAATTGCTCTTAAATAATAATTGCAAATACTTGCTTCCCAGTTCACATACACACATATATTTACTATAGGGCTTCACTGTCTTTGGTGGTAAAAGTATCCATTAACAATTAACTGCTCAAAAGATGATTTTTGTAACAGCATTTGGAGAGAATCTGAAGGGCTTTTAAGCATTAGGTGCACTACTTAAATGCATGAACCAGCAGATCTTTGGGTGAGTGAGAAGAATCATGTCTATAAAATAAGTGTAGCCATGATATTTTCTGAAAAATCCTTTCCTTAGGATTTTTTCTCCTAAGAAGCTGAGAGGCCTCAGGAACAAAATGTAAACAATGATTATCTGCTGCTGTGGAATGCAACTGGTGGATCTGTGATTGGGCTCATGTGGTTGTTTCTAATTAATGGCCAATCACAGTCCAGCTGTCCAGACTCTGGTCAGTCACAAGCCTTTGCTATCATTCTTTTTCTATTCTTATCTAGCCTTCTGATGAAATCCTTTCTTCTAATCTTTTAGTATAGTTTTAATATAATATATATCATAAAATAATCAATCAAGCCTTCTGAAACATGGAGTCAGATCCTCGTCTCTTCCCTCATCCTCAGACCCCTGCGAACACCATCACAAATAAGGGCTGTAATATGAAACCTTCAGGTTCATGGGCATTTAGAAAATGATTCTCTGAAAAGAAGCAGTGTTTTTAGAAAACATGCTATGCACTTCACACCTACTTTTATCCAGCAGTACTCGTTCCCTACTCGTACCCCCATTCACTGGAATGAGGCATTGACTCTCCTGCTGCCTTTCTGTCTCCAGAGGCACTCCTACCACCGCTCCCACTACGACCTGGCAGCCAGCTCAGGCAGGCAGGCAGTGAACGTGCCCCGATTCCCCAGTGCCAGGGGCAACCGCGGGGCCCTGCCCGACCCCCAGCAGGCCTCCGGAACCATCGTCCAGATCGTCATCAACAACAAGCACAGGCACGGCCGAGGTAAGGACAGGCACTGCTTCCAGGATTGATCTGGGTCAGGATCAGTGACCCAGAGCTCAAAAAGACCTCTCAAAATATACAGCAGGATCTTGAAAATTCGCACTGCTATTGAGAAATCCAATGCAAATGAGGGAGGCAAAAGCAATAAGCTATGGAGGATATGAAATTCCTTCTTGCCTACATGTACAACATTGCATTTCACTCTGCAAAAGTAGTGTTGCTCTCCGAGTTACTTTGTGGGATTGTGCCCCATAATTCTGAGAGCTCATGTGCTGGCTGCCAGGGAAGTGAGTGCTTTGTGTCACAAAGGACATCCCAATGCCTTTAGATTCACTAACTTGTTCACACAGTGATTTGTCCTGGAGGAAATTGTTTGTGGCTATTTTCTTTACACTCTCTCCTATTTTGTAACTTTTATAGCTGCAAACAGCTTATATTTCAACTGCCCTGCAAATCTCAGACCATAAAGCTTTGCCACAGTATCAGGAGGTTTTCTGCCTCTGAGACTTAGCAAATTATTCTCATGAAAGACAGTCTTATGTCTTCCCCCACCTTCAACAGTTTCCTGAGACTGTGGGATACAAGGGATATCTCCCTCCCCTGTGACTAACATGAGAGGCAGAGTAGGCAATTAGCCTGTACTGGATGCCTGAGCTGTAGAGAGGCAAATTGAACCAATGCAATGACTCTCACTGTAAAGAATCTTTTAGTGCCTTCTGCTAATAGAATATAGTACATGCTATGTTTTGGGGACAGCAGAATTTTAAGCCCATGTGGCAAACCATATTCAAGTCATGCTCCTCATGCACTACAGGAAGGACAAAAATAAAGAAAATAGCATTCACCAGTTAGTGGGACAGCAGGTTTTGTACAGTAAAAAGGGTGGAATGCTCAGTTCCCACAGGGGGTGTACCTCTGTGAACAGAGGTCTGCAGGAACAGGCCTAGGAAGCTATAAAAGAAATAGCTGTAAAAACACATGCTCAGAAGAGCATCTATCCATAAATACCAGTCAGCATACTTAGAAACTACCACAAAGAGTTAAAATCCCTTGTATTAGGGCCAACTAATCTTTTAAGGTATTAACTAACAGAAGGAATGTTGGCTATAGGATCTTTATTATCCACCTGAACAAGCATGAAAAAGCATTCAGATCATGCCAGTGTTTTATGGTGAATCTAGGAGCAGGAATCTCCACACAGTGCAATGTCTTTGACATGTAATTTGCACATGAAGACATCATCAAAGCAGTTTCTAACTGACTTGTTTCAGCAAATAAAGGAGATACAGATGAGCAGCATATTTCTGGATGCAGTATAGCTTCAGACACTCACTGCCTGGAGAGTGTCTGAGAGATCCCCATGATGGAAACAGGAATGCTGACCATGTGTTTTCTTTTGTTCCTGTGCAATTAACAAGTGTTTTAGTAATTAATGCACATGTCCCTTGAGACATATTTCAACAAGTTAAAGAACAAACTCACAGCTCTTCTGACATGCAAATACTGTGTGGTTGTGTGGACACAGATTTCTCATTCTGAGCATGAAGAGCACTAAAAACAGGGTAACTAGAAGTTATTTGCCAGTATTTTGCTTCTGCTAGAGTCTTCATCTCCTGCCTCAGAGTATTTATTTAATTGTTCTGTGTCAAAAACCCCTTAAAAGACAGAGAGTATGTATCTATACAGTGTCATGTATTATCCCTTCACCTGTCAGGGAGAACTCAGGAAGTATTTATGTCCATAAAGGATCTGGAGAACACTGGCTGGGGGAAAAGAAGTCCATGGAAGCATACAAATTAGCAATAGTATGCTATTTAGGCATGTAAGAAGCCTGCTGAGCAGCTGAGTACTTACCAGTTTTTTCATTTATAGTTCTTTCTCCCATGTTCTTAGTTTACAGATAAAACTTCACTTTTATTTGAGAAACAAAACTGTTTCCTATCTCTAAAAAAAATCTCATGTCTTAAAAAAAGAGTTAAAAAGTAGCAAATTACTAACGAAATGATAGCATAAGCTCATGAAAGACATTGCAAAAAACACTCCCCATAAATCTCAGTAACTCACTAAAATATATAAACCAGTTGGTTACATCTGTTACCAGTTAGATATAAATTTCAGATTACAGATAAAATTTAAATTGCTTTTGAAAGTTACAGGCAAAATAGGAACATATTTTACAAATAAAAAACATTAATAAAAATGATGGCATATTAGAAGAATTGGAAATATTTACAACATATCCCAGCTCCACTTCTGTTGCTTTTAGAAATCAGGCAGTGCCCTTTCTTTCACCTTGTTAGGATTAGTTTGCATTTTTCTTTGTGTTTATAAAATATTCTAAAAGAAAGAAGTAGGATTTATAGGACAAATGGAAACATGGTGTAAAGTGATTTAATTCCCATCAACTGCTGGGTGACCCAAAGTGGCTTCTACCAGGCATGGATTTTTCCACTCTCTTTGTGTCAGCTGTATTTCTCTGACTCCCAGGGGCTCAGATGAATAAATATTCTGAAGTTCTTAGAAGCTTTTGGAATGAAATTTCAGTCCCTAATGAATCTTTTCATGTTTTCTTGTGATTCCAAAAGCCAAATGAATTTATATACCTATCGACATACCTATTTCCACAAAGGAATTAAACTTCATTTTGCAAGTATTCTGTGTTTTTTTCAGTGTGCTACATAGCAGGACTCTCATGTACAAGCAATAAAAGGCCCAGGTATCACTAATCCAGCCAGCTGATAGCATTGCTCTCACTGCAAAGGCTGTGTTCAGCAAATGGCTGGAGCTGTGCAGATGACTCAAATGACATGAACCTGTCATCTCCAAATTCAATTCAAATGCAGCCAAAGCCACTGTAGCAGGCTGTGTCCTGTGTATGGACTGAGAATACAAGGGGAGGGAGTGAGTTTTCTAAGCTGGTTAATGCATAACTGAAATGCATGAACTGGGGGGGAGCTAGTCAGACACTTGACCTTCACTGTTTTCCTCAAAACTTAATGGACATCAGCATCAGCAGAGTTGGCATCAAGGAAAAGCTGCTCAGAAAAGGGTGACCACGGGCTCAGACTCATTTTTAATAAAGGAACTACAAGTTAAAATTAAAAAGCAGAGAAATGGGCCTGAGATGCTAACAGATGATGCAGAGACACTACTTTAAACAATGGGCATGAATTAAATTAGTATTTATAGACAAGTAGGAAGTGAACATACCTTTTCCACTTGAACTTTTTCTTCTTTTTCTTTTCTTCTGTAGTTTGTGTTTCAAATGGCAAAACATACTCACATGGTGAATCTTGGCATCCCAATCTCCGGGCCTTTGGAGTCGTAGAGTGTGTGTTGTGCACCTGCAACATCACCAAACAAGAATGTAAGAAAATTCACTGTCCAGAACAATATCCCTGCAAATACCCTCAGAAAGTAGAAGGAAAATGCTGTAAAGTCTGTCCAGGTAAAACAAAGTTGATCACAGACCACCTTTTTGCTGTGCATGTTAAAGGGCTTGGCTCAAGCCTCCTGACCACAGGCTCTGATGTGAACAGCAGCAGCAGCTGTGCCATGTTCCAGGGGTGTGCAGGGGCCTCAGTGTGAGACAGCAGAGCTGCCTGGCCACCTCTCCTCTTGCTGCTGCTCCTCACACAGGGGACATGCTGCTGGCACATGTCCTTAGCAGTCACTGCCTTTCTCTCTGCTGTTAACACGACTTCCTGATGCTCACTTCCAAAGAGAGTATTACAGAAATGTATACAGAAAGTTCATTACTGCCAAAAGACTCCCATCCTTCCCCCACTACAGTGCCAACAGAACCTTCAGATATTTTCTAGCTTCTAAAATCCACGTGGAGATAACATCATTTCTGCTTTTTAAAATGTACCAGAAGGATTCATAACTCTGATTGGTGTCAGTTACATAACTTAATCCTTAAAATAAATACTAACTTATCACAGATTTAGCATTGTGTCTATGCTGTACTAATGATAAAACTTATGTAGACATTACTAAAATAAGTGTTTACAGCTAGTGAAAAATCTCCTAAAAGGATTCTGCTGATGGTTTGCCAAATGAAAAGCCATATTTCATGTAATACAAAAGGTAAAGGACTGTCCAGTTCCCTTATGTGCCTTTAAACAGTTCCCTTATGTACCCATTTCTGTGTTTGTTTCGTGATGCACTGGGCAAGAATGCTCTGAGGAAATGAGCTGCTCAGCCACTGTAGAAACATTTGTGCAGAATGCACACTTCCCATCTTCTCCTGCTAGTCTTGCTTACTGGGAAAAAACCACGATGCAGAGGCAGTAGGCAGGCAGGAGGTGTGTATCTAGGCCTTTTGGATGCTTGTGAAGCAGAGATCCACAGATTTCATTGGAAGAACAGCCAACAAAGCCTGGCTAACAGGCTTCAATAGAAAAATTAATGGCAAAAAGGAGGCTACTGCCTTGTTTTTGAGATCTATGTACCCATTTTTAAGAAACCCGAACCTTTTCCTGCAGTCTGTCTTGTACATGTGGAGATGTATTAATTGTTAGGTGTTTCCACAAAAAGTGGTCTGAGCCTCTAAGTTGTATCATCTCTCTTATACTCCTGCCCAACTTTCAATTGCAAACAGAATAATTACAATTTCTACTTAGCCTCTACAACTTTACCAGGTGGGCAAGAGATAATGTGTGCTGTGGCTGGCTCAGGCTTGCACTGCCCACGTGGCTGCTGCCAAGCAAAATGCAAACCTCATAGATTCTTTTCCTCAGCAAAACATTAATTTGGGTCTCTGCACTCTAACCAACCACCAATTTTCATTTAGTTCTTTTACTACCCTGAGATTTCTAACATAATTTCAAATATGCTTGAAAAGTAGACAACAGGTTCAAGACTTGTGAGGAGTCTCCCAGACCACATTGTTTTACACAGCTTATTCCCTCAGGAAACTGGATTAGAAGTATAAATACTGCTTTACCACCATGGACAGGCTACCAGAGCCTGGCAGAACAATGTTAAGTGTCTGTGTTAACAGCTGGAGATGGATTTGTGTGGCCATACAAATGAACATTCTACTTTCAAACTAACCATTCTTGGCTATTGTAAATTCTGGAGGACTTGATTATAGCTGTAGTATGTGCTCTGTCCTTTTGTTTTTTAAACAGAAGATGTGCCAAGTCAAACCTTTGACAACAAAGATTACTTCTGTGGGAAAGAGACATTTCCTGTCTATGAATCCATTTTCACAGAGGAAGGAGAAACCATCAGGAAAATTGCAATAGAGATTGAAAAGCCACCTCAAATAGAAATACACGTGTGGACAATTAGAAAAGGTGAGTTGAGAAATTTCTTTCTTTAAACAGTGCATCACCTTCCACTAAAATCCCAGGACAATTTACAGATTTAAGCATTTTGCTGTTCTTTTGGCTCTTTAGGATATTACTATTACAGCCACTTCCATCATACTCAAATTTTTCTGTACAAAACTCATTAGAAACACACAAAGCTGTAGTTCTGCTAACTCCTACCCTTCATTGGGAGCAAAAGCACAATGACAAACAGGTTTTCAGTATTACTCTGTAATTTATTGCAGATAAATGGGTAGTAGGGTTTGAAACAAGTGCCTGGAGGCTCTTACTTAGGATTACTTACTTAGGACCAAAAAGCTTTCCATTGAAATTGGTCTGCCCTGTCTGCCATGTGATGATACACCCATGATGGTGCATATAGAATATGGGCAAAAAATGTGTTAAGGATGGAAACAGTATCTTTTACTAGACTAACTGGTAAAATTAGAACAAAATAGAGAAGCATTCAGAAGCCCAAGCACTACTGCAAATTGTGAACTTTCAGTGTAATAAAAATTATCTCCAGCCTCATAAAAATCATCTCTATCTACTTTAAGCAAAAAGCATATGATCCTCATGGGGAACCCTCACACAGTGCACCCTTTTGCATGGAAATTATACATCTCTAGATGCTTTAAAGGAGAAAGCCAAGGCCAAAGTGGGAGCAGAAAAGAAATCACAGAGCACTGGGAGGTTCACAACTAGCCTGTGTGTTAAAAAGCCACAAAGCCTAATAATGTTTTGACAGTCGTGTTGCCTGCTGGCTCAAAATGGTATCTGACTGCAGAATTATGCTGTTTTTCTCCAAGACACTGGGACTTTGGGCTTCTGTTGTAATCTTACATTTACTCATAATTAAGAAGGATTCAATGTTTTGGAAAAGAATTGGCTAATTCTCACACCTCTCACAAACTCGCTGCAATCCCAGTGTCACAGGAGAATAGTTTTACAGGAGAAAAGCAAAAAAAACAGAGGGATGGAGAAACAGAATTTAAAAAAGAATAGACTGAAAATTTTACAAAAAGGTAGGGCAGCACTCTAGGTTTAGAACAATGGGCACATTTCCAGTAACATGCACTTCTCATTTCTTTGCTGAAGGGATTCTGCATCACCTCTATGTTGAAAAATTGTCCAAGAGAGAATTTGAAGGACTTCCTTACTTCAAGTTGATAACAAGGACAACCCTTAGTAAGTAAAATTCTGACCTACTGAGGTTTCTACTCTCCATATAATCATAGCCATGAAAAACATTCTCTGTTGCTCATCCCAGTCAAATGGATCTACTGAATTTTCCACTAGTATATGATCACAATATTTGATAAGTTGAGATTTAAGTAATCGAAGTACAGCAATTTAAAATATAGATACATGTAACAGTAGTTCATGTACATGCTGTCTAAGTCTCTTGTGTTTTGATAAAGTACAATATAGGATCTTTTCTGCCCATGCTAGAGTAAGTCTGAAATATGACTAATGTCAGCACAGCTGCAGAATTTGGATTTATTTATGGAACATGTCAAGTTACCCCAGTGTTGTAGAAAGAAATTTAGAAGGGAAAAAAATCAGATATTTTTAAAGGGGTTCTACATGCACTTATGTTGTATTTGAAAGATTACTTTCCTATGCTCTTAACAACACCTTCATTATTAAAATATGTTTTATGAAAGGATATGTACTATTTTTATCACTCTTGATTCAATTTGGTTTTTGTATTTCATCCAGTTTGGGATTGTGACAGTAGTTAACAATTAGTAATTCAGCTAATTTGCTAACTGAAATAGGATATAGATATTTTTAATTCCTAGTTCTTTCTTATTACAATTAGAAATTTTTTCTATAACTTTTTTTCCTAGTTAAAAGTCTTTTTCCCAGAAATAATATGTTCTTAATTGTTACAAACCTATTGAGATACACATATGTTTTCATATTAAAAATTCCCTAGTTTTTTGCTGTCAGCCTTCCATAAGCTTGTCATTGTTATCTGCAATGTATTCTAGTAGCCAGTAGTATTCTAGTTACCAGGACAGCATGCATTTCTATTACCACTATCATAAATGTGTAGAAATATTATTTTCCATCACACTTTGTATTAGGCACAGGTAGGAGGAGTTCACAGTACATGAAACATTTAGCTGTGTTGCTTCCCAGCTTTTAAATACTTTGGTTTACCAGGGTATCTAGTGTCATGAAATGGTTGAATAAATAGAGCCAACTTACAGGACTACTTAATTAAAGAAAATAGTAATATTCTGATCCATATTTATTTTTTTAACAAAGTTATTTTGCATGGAATATGTTACATGGTTTTAAGATGCTTCAAATATTTTCCATGGGAGGATTGGACATTCCCTCTTTGACCATTGTGAATCAGTTGGTTTGCAGAGTGCTTGTAAATGTCTTCAAAGTCCCTGTGCCCTTTTCTAAGTCAATATCTGTCTCCTTTGTGTTTTTGTTTTCAGGCCAGTGGAAAATATTTAGCGAGGGAGAAGCTCAGATCAGCCAAATGTGTGAAAGCAGAGTGTGCAGGACTGAGCTCGAGGATTTGGTAAAGGTTTTGTACCTTGAAAAGTCTGAAAAGGGTCACTGTTAAGGGAGACAGCACTGGAGGGAAAAACACAAGAAAACTTCTGAAAACTTGGATCTGCAGCTGGACTGCAGGCTTATTTTGCTTAAGTCAGCAGTTGCCCTAAACCCCAAAACTATAATGCAGTAATTATTCACATCATGCACAGCAAATTTGCTGCTTTATGTGTAGTGGTCTGTGTCAACTGTTCAAATATCTCCTCCAAAAGACTAGAAGGCTCTGTGTTACTGGTGGGGGAAGGAGAAAGAAAGACTGTGCTTTCCTAGAGTTGCATTTCTTTACAAGTTAAAAAGAGAAAACAGAACATTTTTACTATTATTATTTGGCAAGTTATTCAAACTAATGAAAAGAAGGACACCTAATAAATGTGCAGGAGCTATGGAGAGCATTATATCCTGTCCTGAATTTATACCATTTCTGGTGTTGAAATGATTCATGGATTTCTTGTAGTAGTGGAGGAAAAATAGGAGTGATACAATATTCATGTTGGAGACATAAATACCAGATTTAAACTAACAGACTCCTTAGCAGCCTGCCTTTGGGATGATGTCTTGTAGTTGAGCAAATAAAGTCCATAAACTGAACAGCAGGTGTTAGTGGCAATCAATATATTTTTGTAGCAATTGGAGCAAATGTTGGCTTTCAAGTGGTTTTCACTGTTTCTTCCACCCACTTCCCTAAAAGTGTTAGCTCCCTATAATAACCCTAATAACTTCATTCTTCTGGGCCCTATTTACACATGCTCTTGGCTGGTAAACCACCTTCTAAAGAGATGTAGCAGAAAGTGGTGAAGTACTTGCAGTATTTTCAAAACACCTAAACCATTAAAACTCATGATTAATAATGCCTTAAAAGTTGTGACAGAACTTAATTTATTTGTTCTGATTTGTTACAAACATAATCTTCATTTTTCTGAGGGTGACCTCTCAATTCTCATGTGTCAAGAATAGCTCTCTCCCATGACAAACAACAAACAGCTACAGGCTTGTAGAGCACAACAAGCAGCTGCTTGTTGTGACAACTGTTCAGGAAAAAAACTCAAATCTGAGAGATTCTGTTAAAATTAGTATAGCATGTCTGCAGTGTGTTTAAGAGAAGTGACTTTCATCTGCAGACTAATTATAACAATTTGAAAACTGTTTTCACCAAAATCCTGCACTGCCCTGTGGCTGCAATATTGGATTAAATCCCAAGATGCAAGTGGCTCTGCCTGCTTTTGCTCCTGTTTTCTACTCCACAAGCAGACAGGAATAGTGCTGTTCAAACACAAGCTAGGAAACAAAGCTTTATGGAAATGGCCTGAGCCGGGGGCTGGGGCTTCACAGGGAGTGAAATCAACAGTGACAGGAAGGATTTTGAGGTTTGTCATTCTGCCAGTGACAGCACTCAAGGGTGTCCACATTCCTAAAGGGATGAAGTTGTGGGAGAGGTTGGTGCTGAATGCCAAAAGCCCATTCAGGCAGAGCTTCACCATGGTGAGGGGATCCTTGGCTGGGCCAGCAGACCCTGGCAGCCTCCATCAGACAGTGCAGGCCTCAGGACCAGGCTTCTCCATGGCACCCAGGGCCTGGCCGTGCTGTGTGTGTGTGTGAGTGGGATGCAGGGCTTCTCAACAAAGAGGAGCAAGTGAGGAGAACAGACATGAAGGTGAAGGAAAGGCTGAAGGGAATTAGGAGAAAACATACAGGGTGATGTCAGGACCACCCTGCTGCCCCTAGGGCTGGACAGAGAGCAGATGAGGTTTGGGCATACAGGCCATTTGAAAGTGCAGCAAGTTGAAATGCAGGAACACCTGGCAAAGAGAAATCCTCTATATCACTGTTCATGAAAAGGAGAACTAAGTGAACTGTCCTGCCACCTTTCCAGGGGACTGATGCTTCCATAAGTCCTGTCCTGGTGTTGGAAAGGGGTGTAGCATATCAAAACAAAGGCCCTAAGACCTCACTGCACCAGAGCTGCAGTGTAACTGTAGAAGAAGCAGTTTGGCATGAGAAGCGCTGATTGCACATGGCAACTACTGGGTTGAAATGTGCTGCAGGACTGTAAAATTTTATTATAAATCTTTAGGAAGAGGTTCTGAAGAATTGTAGTGTTCTGTGAGAAGACCAGCAGTTGATTTCTCACCTAACAGGCATTGTCTGTTTGTAGCAGTAGCTGGTGGCAAAAGACTAAGTGGAAAATGTACAGTGTTTGTAATTTTTTTAATGAGGATGGCAACCTGCTTTTTTGGATTTGTGACAGGACTGGTGGAATCCAGATTGTGTATTTATTTTATAATAAACATTTCTTAAGAAAAGCAAAAAGCATCATTTAGTAAAATGCAGTGTTGCGTTTTTCCGGTTTCTGGTCACTAAAGACAACAAAATACACAGTGTCATGTTTTGCATTCTCTTCATGAGATGTATGTCTGTTACAGTACTTATTTATGTACTTGTTGTATCACTTTGACCTGGTTTGATAAATTAATAAACTCTGAAGTTGATAATAAAATAAGATGGTTTGCCTAGGGTGCTGTTTGTTCAAGGTGTTTGGTTTTAGCTCCCTGCTTGCAGGTGGCTGCTGGCACCTCAAGGTCTGAAGTCATGTTCCCAGCTGGGTGCAGTGCATGACTGCCTGCTGTGAAATCAATACTGAGTTATGGAAGAGTCAGACTAGAAAATACCCAATTTAATTCAGCTTTCACCTACCCAGCTAGATTAATTTTGAAAATCAAAGCATTGACATCCATATATGGAAAACAACCTAAGAAGAAATCAAGCATTGCCAACTGAAAGAACAGTACAGGACTTACTGCTTTCTGGGCAAAACATATTCTGAAACTCAGAATAATTGGGGGAATGTTGATGGAATCAATCTGTCCTAATGCCTAAAAATGAGATGGTTTTCAGAAACATAAGGGAAAAAAATGTACATGGCTAGCAGTGTTAACTAAAATGAAGAATATCAGCCTTGGCAAAGATGAGTGTTCAAAGTAAATCACTTTAAATCGGTAGGTACATCAAATCTGGAATCCAGAATATCTCTGGAAATTTCTAATGAAACTCATTGTAATTTCATCACACCTTGTATATTCATTTTGGCCATCTTTTCCTTTTAGAAGAAGTCTGTTAGGAGAATCCTTTCCATGAGAACACACTCCAGGCACATGGGCCTGCTCTGCTCTCCTAACTCCATCAGGGGCATTCACCTTCCTACTAGCTGAAGACTAAAAGTCATCAACTGTCAGGCTTGCACAGCTGCATCCCCATTGAATGTATTCTCTTGATTTCATAACATCCAATGCTTTTTAGCAGCACACTAAATTTTATTGCTCACTTCTACCCCCTTCTCACGTACCAGGGTCATCTCTGGCTCCACATGACTCCACAGGTCAGGAGGGGCTGGGTATGGAGCCAGGAGCCCTATTTACTGCTGTGTTCTTCTGAACACTTTGAAATATACCCACACAAGTACAAGAGAAACAATGTGTCAGCCTAACACTCTCCCCTTCCTACACTATTCATTTAAAAAAAGGTCAAAGCATTTCACAATTCAGATGATGACTCCTTCCAAAATAATTGATAGCACATGAAGTATTTGCGTAATGCTGGTGTGCTCTAGTGCCTATTGTGTTATCCATCTAAGATAAAAGCCAAGATTTTAGTGATTTATTGAGGGAGGGGTGCAAATTGACAAAGTTAATTCTTATTTCCATTTATTACTTTTGTTAGAGGTTTAAAAAATGTCTTCATCTTTTGATCTGAGGTTTTGGACTGTTTTACTTTTTGGGTAAAGTATGTCTGCAACTACATGAGTATATGAGTATGAATCCACAACCCTCCCTTCTCACATAACACCAACCCAACTATGAGCAAGAATGCAAAGCATCCAAAGCAAAAACAAGTAATTGATCTTAACCCTGCAAAACAGTTTTTAATGTAGACACACTGGATGATAGTTCATTCAGTAAATGCAGTGAGCCTGATTGCACTACCACTTAAAGTAAAAAAATCCCAGTCTGTCCTCAAGTGACCTCAGCTCAAGAGACACAGACAGTACATCACACTAAGCATAACATGTGGCTAACTACTACAAACAGGACCCATAGCTAATTATCTCTCCACCAAGATCAAATCTATCTCCTATAGATTTACATTCCTTTCTCTCTGCTTTGTTCCAGTATCACACCACCACAAAATCAGGTATGTTAAGGCCACAATAAATGAAAACTGTTTTCTATTCCCACTGATGGAAACAGCAAAAATCGCAGTCTCTTTTAAAAAGGGTCATACAGATACTTACTGTACTGACATTAAACCCACTGCAGTATTCTCTAGAAATTCACATGTACCAAAGTTACATTTTATACTTTTCACAGATTCCCAGTCACTTCATGTTCCCTGGACAGAACTGTTGCTCTAGCCTGGTTCTCCCCAGCTCACTTTTCTCCTCTGCCAGCAGCTAGGATGGGACATTGAATTTGACTTCTAATTATAGAGGTATAAATAGAAGTCTAGTGATACTTAAGGTTTATATACTGGGGTATTTTTGTTCCACATCTCTAAAAGGGAAGAGCCAGACTTCCCAGTTAACACATCCAGCTTGACATTAACATGGCATTTATTTTCATTTCCTGTACTGAAGTGTTGGGCAGTGTGGCCAGCTTTTATGCTGCTAAATGCAGTTTGTAGTAGCTGCAGCTCAATAGAGACTGAAATAGTTTCTACACAAACTTTTCTTAGTGTACTTAGGGTGGAATGGGAAGTGTTATAGAAACATCAAACAAGAAAAGTGAGCTCTTGGGCCAGCTTTTTCCTTAGTGAAATAAAAAGACATTATGTAGAAGTATTTATAGTTATGGCTGCATAGCTATCCATAACCTAATAGACAACAGTCACCAACTAATCAATCTTCACAAAGGTCTTTCTAGAAAAAGGAAGACTAGACCTTAAATGTGGTTATTTAGTTAAACAAAAAAATATTCATGGAGACACATATACTACTCCAAGTGATGATATGTTCCAGAAAGCTGAGTTTTCATATCTGAGATCATGTTTTCAATTCTGTGCTATTAGAAAATATTTCCTTGCTTTGAGTGCCATGTTATAAATCCACATAAGCCAAGTCTCACAAAATCTTTGGGTTTCGATCTAGCCAGGCAGTGGCGTCCTTTCAAAAATGGTCCAATGACAACATTAAAAAGCATTAGGGGATGTTTACAATCAGAACTGATTATCCACTAAGTTTAACTTCATTTATATTAATGCAAACCAGGTGTAAAATTACGCAACCAAATCCTACCAGTAGCCCTTCTCACTCACTTCACACTATGTAAATTATGATAAGAAAGTAAAAAAAGAATAAAAAGAACAAAAAAAGGAGTGATTTTGAGCTTCAGCAAATGTGCCAGAATTCTGGAAAGAAAACTCCTGCTGCTGTTTTGTTTGAAAGACTAAGTTTATAAATTATGGATTGTTTTCACAAAAAAAACTAAAAGAAAAGCAGGTTTTCTTATTAATTTGGCCTACAGTCTCTTTTATTTTGCAATCATAAGCAACTGAAAGATTCTATTGATAATAATGGTCAAAGCCCACAGAGACTTAAGAACTTACACCAGCTTTTTCCGCCCTGATTTTTCTTCTTACTTCAAAGTCAGACATCTTTTAGAGACCTTTATAAACTGATGAGTCCCTGCTGAAGAGACTAGGCTCTTCCCATGACATCAGCCTATAACAAGCTCCCAATGTCTTTATAGTCTGCATGTGTTGGGAATTATTTACCCCATCTAAATGATGTCCATGATGAGATCACTCTTATTAAGACAAAACTATCATAACCACTGTGCTCATGATGATTGCAGCTCACATTAATG